GCAGAAAGTAGAGGAAGGTACGAGAGGATCAGCTGTCCTCGATTTAATATTAACTAACAGGAATGGCCTGGTGGACAAATTAACAACCGTGGGAACTCCATGGGAAAGTGCCCATGTGACACTTGAATTCTCAATTATAAGGGAGACCAAGGGTAACTGGAGCCAAACAACTTCAGGAAAGCCAACTTTAACAAACTCAGAAAAATGGTAAGTGACGTGCCATGGCAACACACCCTTAAGGGGAAAGGTGTCCAAGAGGGGTGGGAAATCTTGAAAAAGAAGATCCTCGAAGCACAACTATGAACAATTCCATCAAGCAAAAGGTGTAGAAGGCAGCAGAGGAAGCCCAGGTGGCTCCACAAAGGTTAAGTAACAGCCTGAAAGAAAAAGAATATGTACAGGAAGTGGAAGCAGGGCCAGGTCATGAAAGACGAATATAAACAAAAAGCAAGGAATGGCAGGAATTGCATCAGGAAGGCTAAAGCAGGAAATGAACTGAGAATAGCAGGGGAGGCTAAGCACAACAAGAAAGCCTTCTTCAGATACATCCAGAACAAAAGAGGTGAGAAAGAGAAGGGTGTCCAGCTACTTAAAGTGGCTGGAAGAGTGATAACAGTCGACATAGAAAAGGCAGAGGCGCTCAGTTCCTACTTCGCCTCAGTCTTCTCCCACAAGGAAATCTGCAATCAAGAGGAAGTACAAGCTGAAAGTGAGAGATGGCAGCCCAAGACTGACAGACAAATGGTCAAGGAATGGAATAAACACATTCAATTCACCAGGGCCTGATGAACTCCATCCCAGAGTCATAAAAGAGGTAGCGAAGGAACTCTCAGAGCCACTGGCCATTATCTTCAATAAATCTTGGAAAACAGGAGAAGTGCCAGACAACTGGAGAAGGGCTAATGTTGTCCCTATCTTCAAAAAGGTGGTGGGGGGGAGATGAACCTGTGAACTATAGACCAGTTAGTCTGACATCAATCCCTGGAAAAATTCTGGACCAAATTATTAAAAAACCCATTTGCAAGCATCTTGAAGAAAATGCAGTGATTAATAGAAGCCAGCATGGTTTTTTCAAAAATAACTCCTGTCAGACTAATTTAATCCCATTTTTTGACTAGGTAACCTCCCAAATGGACAAAGGGAATATTGTGGACATAATCTACCTAGACTTTATCAAAGCTTTTGACACAGTGACACATGTCATTCTGATAAGCAAATGAGCAAAAACTGGACTAGATGAAAAAACTATTAGGTGGATCCAAAATTGGCTGCTAAATTGGACACAAAAAGTGCTCATCAATGGCACCTTCTTAAACTGGATGGAGGTAACCAGTGAAATGCCACAGGGTTCCGTCCTGAGCCCAGTGCTCTTCAACAACATTAATCATCTTTATTAATGATTTAGATAAGGAAGTACAAGGAAAGAGAATCAAATTTGTAGACAATACAAAACTGGGTGGAATAGCGAACACCCTAGAAGACAGAATGAAGATCCAGGCTGATCTTGATAAACTTGAACACTGGGCTGAAAGCAACAGAATATGATTCAATAAGGACAAGTGCTAAGTCCTCCACCTAGGAAAAAGAAACCAAATTCATCAATACAAGATGGGGAATACGTGGCTCAACAGAACTGAAAAATAAAAAGATCTTGGAGTAATTGTGGACAATAGGCTAAACATGAGCCAACAATGTGATACAGCCGCCAAAAGGGCAAATGCTATTTTGGGATGCATTAACAGAAGTATTACTTCCAAATAACAAGAAGTAGTAGTTCCTCTATACTCCTCACTAGTCGGACCTCACCTGGAATAGTGTGTTCAGTTCTGGGCACCAAGATTTAAGAAAGATGCAGGTAAATTAGAAAGGGTCCAGCGGAGGGCAACAAAAATGATCCAGGGTTTGGAAACACTGCCCTATGAGGAGTGACTGAGAGCTGGGTATGCTCAGCCTTGAGAAGAGAAGCCTGGGGGGGCGGGCATGCTATCCCTCTATAAGTACCGCAAAGGCTGTCACAGAGAGGAAGGTCAAGATCTCTTCTTGCTGATGCCAGAGTGCAGGACACAGAATAATCAATTCAAGTTGCAACAACCCAGATTCAGGCTGGACATCAGGAAAAGCTTCCTCACTGTCAGAGCAATGCAACAGTGGAACCAGCTGCCTAGAGAGCTGGTGAGCTCTCCCACACTAGAGGGATTCAAAAAGGAACTGGACAGCCATCTGAGTGGGATGGTGTAAGCCAGTGTCCTGCAACAGCAGGGGGTTGGACTCGATGGCCTTCATGGTCCCTTCCAACGCTACTGTTCTATGATTCTATGCCCACCAGAGCTGACCTGAGCTATAAAGCAAATCATTTGGAAGGCCTGCATGTTGCCCATCCATGCCTTAGACAACTGCCCAATGCAAAAAATAAAATAAAATAACACACACCTTTTACTCAGCCACTTCAGAAAATGCCCACATCCATCGGTACATTATGTGCCTGTGCAATTTTGGAAACACCACCCAGGGAAAGGGAAAATATGTTGGCAGAGATTAGTTAAGCTAGCTAAGAACTGCTGCCCACCTTACTGCTTCTTCCACCATCCAGTGGCTTGTGCTGCCCTGCCAAAATGCCCTCTGGTTTGCCGTATGGGCTGCCCCTGAATACCAGGAATACCCAGTATCAATCACTCACAGACTGATCCTAGAAGAGGCTACCAATTCAATGCATCTTACTGAAACTAAGTGAAGGAGCAGCCCTTTCGCAGCTGTGTCCGTGTGAATTCTAAGTGCTGCACCAGCACAGATGCAATGGCTGTGGAGGGGAAACTACTGAGGTCAAGAAGGATGCCCAGCGCCAAAAGCCATCACGGTGTTAACTATTGATTGATTACCACTAGAGGTTATTCTTCTGCAGCTGGAAGAGAATACGAACTGCCCAAAACCACTAGCTTTGGCTTCAGCTTCTGAGCTCAGCCACAGCCAAGCATCAATTGCACTATGTTCTTCCAGGACCCTGCTCTTCCATTTTTGCTGAAGCAGCAACCTATACATCTTTGCCATGTTGTGTTACTCCTCTGCAACAAGGAGAAAGGCTCTCATCAGATAAATACAAAGTTATTTCTGGTTATGCCTGGTTATTTCTACAAAATGCATGAAGGAGCAACCCAGGGCCAGAGTTTTTTCTTTACCCAGTAAAACTGTGCATGAGTCAGATCAGGGCCAGTGTGCTGGGAAGGAAAAGATTCGACCTTGGTGTCAATGGCGACTTTCCTCTGCACTTTTTCAAACTTCTCTTTGGGGTAGAATTTCAGTGAGGAGATGGGCTAGGGATGATGGGGTTGTACTGTGACCTGTATGTGGGGCAGCAGCTTGGGTGATGGATTTTAACAGCCACGTGTCAACTATGCTTCAGCATGGCCTTCCCCAAAAGGCCCCCCCCCCCCAACTGTGTCAGGTTTTTCAGTGCATCACCAAGGAAAGTCTTTTCTGCAGAATAATGGATCTGACTCACCAATGTGAGCAAGAAATGGAAATGACTCCTGCGGGGAGCCTACTCATTTCCCGCCATTAGCAACAGTTTGATGGGTGAACATGCAACTTACATGCCCATTTCTCTTCCCCCACCACAGGCTCCCTCTCAGCCATGAAAACCTTTTTAGTTCAATGCATTTTATGGTAAGGATGGTTCTTAAGTTGAGCATATTTTCAAAAATTTCCACCCACTTTTAAAATATTTTTCTCATCAATCAACCACTCCCAGGAATGTATTACTTATTTGAACGATGGTTTAGTTGTTTTTAAATTGCAGCTTGAGAAATGTAACTTGAAAATGGGCATATATGTGAATAAAATGACCCATGTGCAGCAGTTCCTGAGGAACACAAGGAGTGTGGTGTTGCCCTCACATCCTATTTGTGGACCCCTACAGACACAGTGGCAGGCAACTATGTGAACACAATACTGGCCTAGACAGACCTTCCTACATTTATATATTCTTAAGATGTCCTTTGAGTGATACCAGTTCTGCCCAATCATTCCTTCACATTCACAGTCTGGGTAATTACCAGTGCAAGCCTACACATGTATACTGCATAAACAAACTGCATTAAGTTCGGGGAGAAAGTACCAGATTTCAAAGAGAGATGAGGAATTAAATCAGGCACAAAGATGAGAAACAAAGCATCTCAGCCTAACCTACTCCACAGAGGTTTTGTTGCAAGGATAAAAAAGAACTATTTAAGCCTCTTTCAGTTCCTCAAGAGAGGAGAAAAGTGGGACATAAATGCAATGTAACGACTACATCACCAATGGCAAGCCAGCTTAAGAGGGATAGGCAACTCGGAACCCTCCATACACTTTGACCTACAGCTCCCAAAATCCCCAATCATTGGCCAATGGGAGCTGTAGTCCAAAGCATATGAAGTCAGGATTTAATCTGTGCTAGACCTGGAATCCAGCTTACAAATCAACACAAAGCGGCTTCTCCCACCGTTCTTTACGGGGCAAATCTGTGCAGGGCTTAATCTCAAGGAAGCCCACCCAGGAATGCAGCTCTAGGTTTACAAGGGCGCCACGCTCATCACAGTCGTAATCTCATAGTTAAGGGCACGAGCCTATGCGTGCATTTTAGGCAGAGGAAGCCCTACAACTCCCAGCATCCCCCCAGCTAGCCATGCATATTTCATTTTATCTCATTTCGTCCAAGCGTGCATCAGACCGTGCTCTAAGCTGGACAAAGGTGCCTCGACGAAACGAGGCCCAGCACCTTCTCTCCAGCGGGCTAGGGCTGCCGGCGTGCATCGCGCCGCGCCGCGCGGCTCCCTCGCCGCCCTTCCCTCGTGCCGAGGCGCCGCGTGGCCGCCTCCGCCCGGGCAGAGCAGCCCGGAGAGGCCGCGCGAGGCAGCTGCCCTCACGGGCGACGCCACCCGCCCCGCCCCGCGGGAAGAGCGGCCGCGAGCGGAGGAGAAGAGCTGGCTGCATTTTGCCCGGTGCCCGTCTGCAAGGAGACGCCTTACCTTCACGGCCGCACATGCCGCGGCCGCAGCCATCTTGATCACGGAGAAACGAGAGGAACGGGGAGGGAGGGAGGGGCCTGCGGTCGCTGCTCCGCCCATCGCGTAGGTGGCAGGGGCGCAGCTATACATCTGGCCCGCGGAGCTGCAGGAAGCCGGGTACGGGAGTTGCTCGGCGGCACGGCGAAGAGCCTGGAGGGACTTGTGCTCGCGCGTTTCTGGGTGGCGGTCGTGCCCTGAAGAAAGCACTGCACTGCACTGCACGGATTTGGGCATTTTGCCCACGGCAAGGACGACCCTGGATTTGGGAGCTAAGCGATGCGAAGGCCAGTCGTGGCAGGGAAATCGTTTTAGTTTGGCCTTGCTATTGCTAAACCATTGGGAGACGTTCTTTAAATCACCCAGAGAGATCACCCGGTATACCTCCCGGCCACCCGTGCCATGTAGAATGCAGAGGTTCTCCCACCGCAACACTCATGTTTGAGAGGTATAACGAGTGTGGAAGTCGGCTGCAGACATCGCCAGGTGGCTTTCCTCCCACGTGCTGGAAAGGGTTGCATACGTGGCCGCAAATGACTTTCGGCTTTGGGTGGCGCAAGGCTGCCTCATCTAAAATCAGGTTCCAAGTCTCAGTGGCGTTTCGGTGCAGTTTGCAGCATTCCCAAACGTGCGCTAGCTGAGAGCGCCTGTTTCTAAATTTGGAAGAAGAGAGGGGGAGAGCTGTGAATGTATGTAAAAAGCGTTTCCCACTTCAGAGGAGCCCAAACTCTTGTGTGGCTTCTTCGGTTCATTCATTCATTCATAGAGATGTTTATTTCATTTATTTAAAACTTGATTTAATACATAAAATTGGAATACAATAAAATCATATTTATAAATAACCCAATTCAATAAAAGTTTACATAAAGACAAAATCAAAGCCACTGTACAAACAATAAATATTGGTTTTTAAAATAGCGATTAAATAAAAAGGTTTTGACCTGACACCGAAAGGAATATAAACTCGGCACCAGGCGCACCTCTCTGGGGAGCACATTCCACAACCTGGGCGCCACTGCAGTTAAGGCCCTGTTCTGGGTAGATGTTCTCTTTAAAACATTTCTATTCTGCCCCCGCCCCCATCGCAACAAAGCCTCAGGGCAGCTTAATCTCCTTCAGGGAGGGTTCCCGGAGCAGAGCCTCTCCTGCAGACCTTAAGGGGCATGAGGGTGTATAAGGGAAGAGGCATTCCTTCAGGTATCCTGGTCCCAAGCCGTTCAGGGCTTTATAGGTAAAAACCAGCACCTTCAATTGGACCCAGACTTTATTTATTTATCGATTTATATCCCGCCTTTTTCCTACTAAGGGCTCAAGGCAGCTTACATCATTCTCCTCCTCCATCTTATCCCCACAACAACAACCCTGTGAGGGAGGTTGGGCTGAGAGTCTGTGACTGGCCCAAAGTCACCCAGGTGGCTCCATGGCTGAGCAGGGACGAGCACCCAGATCGCCTGAGTCCCAGTCCTGTGCTCTTAACCACTACATCACACTGGCTCTCAACCGGAAGCCAGTGTACCTGGTAGAGGACCAGCATTATGTGAGAATAACGACCGGTCCCCATCAGCAACCTGGCAGATCTAATCTGTACTAGCTGATGTATCCAGACCATTTTCAGGGGCGGCCTCACATAGAGTGTGTTACAATAATCCAACTCGGGGGTTCCCAGAGCATGAATCACCCTTGCTAGGCAGTGTTTGTCCAGGTAAAGACGCAGCTGATGGACCAACCGAAGATGTAGGAAAGCACTCCTTGCCACCGCCGCCACCTGGAACTCCAGTGACAGCTCTGGGTCAAGGAGTACTCCCAAGCTGTGAACCCTGTCCTTTAGAGGGAGTGCTACCCCTCTATGTGTCTATCCATGACTGAAAGCAACCAAATAAGCAGGATGGCTCATTTTCCTTTGGGATGATGATCCCCTTTCAGCTTGGGGGCTGAATTCAGGGGTGGGGGAAGCATTTCCCAGCATTTTGTGCCTTAAAGGTCTTATTGCCAGTAGCTGAGCCTTCAGAAAGAAATTCCAGCCTTTTGGAATGGGAATAAAACAGTGCAGTGGGAACCCACTGAATATTTGGTGTCTGAGGGAAAGCGTCTGGGTGCAGGGGAAGAGAGTGTGGTCATCCAGGGAATCAGCCACAGGAATTGACCCCAGACCTGAGGTTTGCCACCCAAGTTCTACTGCATCTTTTCAGTTGGAGCTACTGAATCATGGGTGTAAAAATGCACTGACACACACAGGCATGCAGATGGAAAATTGGCTGGGAACAGGCCAGGCCAGGCCAGAGAAATGAATCACAGGAAAACATACAGCCCACAGCCCTGAGGGTGAAACTTCAGGCTGTTATTCCATCTTCCTAGGAATAAGCCCTATTGAACTGTGTATGATCAAAGTTACTATACACTTGGCCATTCCGTGGCTTGATCCTCTCTCTTCAGTCAGCCAGCACTGTGCTTTATTCGTGGAATGTTACTGGAGAGGAAATGGAGGCCCAGATGACTTTGTCTTCAAGTGTAGAGCCAAGTATAAATATTTTTGACTGCTGGGTAACCTTTCTATATAGGTCACCAGAACAGAGTTCAATTTGTGAACTCTTAATGTTTCCTAATCCCAAGCAGCTTTAATTTTTGCATGCAAAGTTCCAAGTGCAATCTATTTTTTTAAAAAAATAAGCTTGAAAAGAAAGACAGAAAATACTGCCCCAAATATAATTAATATATTAATTAAATATAATTAAACAAATGCTATATAGTTCATAGGGACTGCAGGTGGCGCAGTGGTTTAAACAGGTAGGTAACAGCGTTCCGTGCACTTCGGTGCGTAGTCATGCCGGCCACATGACCACGGAGAGTGTCTGCGGACAAACGCTGGCTCCCTCGGCTAGGAAACGGAGATGAGCACTGCCCCCTAGAGTCAGGCATGACTGGACTTAATGGCAAGGGGAAACCTTTACCTTTGCCTTATATAGTTCATAAACAGAGTTTTCCTTTAAAATAAAAATCCAGATCTAGGAAATGAAGTGAAAAGCTGAATAAATCCTTCTGGGTAAAGACTTGTGGTGTTTTTTTTTCTTTTTCTTTTCTCTCTTCTTTTTTTTCTTTTTCTTTTCTCTCTTCTTTTTTTTTTCTTTTCTCTCTTCTTTTTTTCTTTTTCTTTTCTCTCTCTTTTAATTTTTCTTTTCTTTCTTTCTTTTTTGTATACAACCTCTAGCATAGTGCATTGACGCACATATATAGAGTGCCGGGCCTTCCATGCAGGAAGACTTTATTTAATATATTTATGCCCTGGCATTTTTTCCCGAAAGGAACCCAGGATGACCTTCCTCCCCTCCCTTTCTTCCTGACAACAGCCCTGTGAGGTAGGTCAGCTGAAGACTTTCATCTGACTGGCCCAAAGCCACCCAGTGAGCTTCATGGCCACGTGGGAGTAGAACTCGGATCTCCCGAGTCCCAGTCTGACACTGTAACAGCTACACCACACTGGCCCTCTGAATTCATGCTTCATGAATGAGTATCTCTCTTCTTCAAAATGGTAAACTGAAATTGGGCCCTGAAGAGTCTTCCAGGGCCAGCAGAAAACTGAAGTTTGATTAATTCACCATCCACCATTACTTGTGTATAATACTTAAATTCACCATTATTGTTTAGTGTCCTGCAGGTGGCACCACATCCATACATTATCACTGCTGCAAGCCAAACTCATGCCCTCATTTGCCACATAATGCATTGGTGCGTCTTAGTTTAACTGTAGGTAGATTGTAGATCTCAAATACGAATAAACGTAACGTTTGCCAAATCTTGGCCCAGCACTCTTATTGCTAGAAGGGGGGTTGTAAATTATAAGACACCTCTGGATTTTTCGAGATTAGTATGTCGACTGTCACTGGCTGGATGCCACTGTTTTCGCTTTTTTGGTCCTTCTCCCCTGGCAAAAATGGCCAAAGCCAATCAGGCTGGGTTCAGATTTAGGGGTGTGCCACTGGGATGGTGGAAGAGGACCTCCCCATTCCTCTCTGTGGCAGTCCCTTAAGGCCACCGAAGAGGTTATTCAGAGTGTCAGGAGACCCTGCCAAATGGGGGGAAATAGCTGAAAAGCAGGTGGATCAGAGCCCTTTCGTTCATCCTCGATCCATCCAATTTTCCTTCACCATGTGATGTGCACTGATACTGTTGTCCAATTCTGCACATATTTACCCAGGATCGAGCCCTACAGAGTTAGGGTATACCCAGTATCAAGCCCTACAGAGTTCCATAGGACCTACTTCCAGGTAAATAAGACCAAGTCATGCTGGCTGAGGCTGAAGGCTTCTCTGGTCCACCCTTGTTTCCTGCTCCGGGCACCGTGGATGCTTCAAGGAATTCCCAAGCTGTTCTCTACTGCTCCCTCTGTGACTGGCCTTCAGACTACAATGCACTGAAATGGATGCAGTTTTGTTTCATGTTTTTCTAGCCTGCCTTTCTCCTCTCTCAAGGAACCCAAAGCAGCTTACAGGGGTGCCTTCTTCTCCATTTTATTCTTCCAGCAACCTACAAAGCAGGTTAGATTGAAAAACAGTGAGTGGCCCAAAGCTCTTCAGTAAGTTTTATGGCCAAGAGGGGACTAGACATGGAATAATAATAATAATAATAATTCATTACATTATATATAACACCTATAGCCAAAGCTCACTGGGCAGTTCACAACATTAAATCACCCATCCAGATTTAAACCAGGCCCAACTCTGCTTAGCCTCCAAGATTCGACAGGATCAGGCTAGCCCTAATCCAACCACTATACCACACTGCCTCCCTGGGGCTTACTCAGCATTCTGCAGCCATTGAGCATGCTCAGTCTTCCTTGAGCTGTTTTGGACAGTTTCCCTTCCTAAGCAATTGTGCACTTCTGAAAACCTGGGGTTTCCCCATGGTCTTTCTGTCTTTATTTTGATTTCCTCACTGATTATAGTTGTATACAGTTTTTCTGCCAAGTCCCATGAGGCAGTTAACAATTTTTACATAGCAAAACAAACAAAAAGTTCCT